GTGTTTCCTTCACCGCCATAGCCCACGATCCATACTGGTCGTGTACATTTTTTGGTCCTTCGAGCCGGATACACGGCAATCAGTTAATATAAAGATTTAAAGTGAAAGTAATAAATATTGGAATACAGTCATATGGTGTGAAGGAAGGCACGAAGTAACATAGAAACAAAACTTTGTACAGTGCAGTTTGCAAAATCGTTTTCTTTTCTCGTGAATTTTTCATACGATTATAATCATGAGGATTGAACATATAATTAGTAAGATAGAGCAGCTTCTAGGGCTCAGTAAATCAATAACTGATTCTTATAATAACTTGGTAAGGATTGGCTTGACTAACATCACCAATCAACGTATTCACAATCGGCTGTCAGGGTGCTGTCACATGGCAGTCAGAAATTCGGAAAACGGAATCTCGGAAAAGTAACGGAGAGGGGGTCAACCAATCAGAATCATTTTGTTCACATGCGAATGTTACAAGGTTGAGCTTTCGGAAAACAGTGATCTTTCTGATTTGTATGAGAAGAAGTGTACACTATTTTCGTGCTAAGAGTTTATTTTATCATGAATAAAAACATATCGGCGGTAAGTTATATTTAGTTATTATAATTATAGTTTTTCAAGATACATATTCAATTAAAAAAAAATAAAATACTTTTGTAAATATAAAATTCGGTTAGATTGTTGAATAACCTATAAATTAATAACAATAAAAATAATTTTTTCTTTATTTTAGAGGCAATTTACATGTGGTTATTGCAATTGGGTGTTGAAAGAAAATCAAATCTCATCACATTCATGTCTAAATATGATTGATAGAAATAAACAGGTGTTAGTTGCGGATGACAATAGACATATTTACATACAAGGTATAACAAATTTCAATTTCATTCTTCTCGTAATTGTTAATATAATATAAATATAATTAAATGACATAATATATTTATTATCTTTTAGATATTCAATACTGTGTCAACGAAAATGATGAAGAAGGAAGTATAGAAAGAATAGAAAATGAAATAGAAGAAACAGATAGTAATACATCTTATTTAAAAAATAAACAAGAGATTGACGAAGAATTGATAAAAACTGTTCAAAAACATCCTCCATTATATGATTATCGCATTCCATTAAAAGAACGGGGTCAACAAAAGGCAGATTTATGGAGGAAAATATCAGAAGATTTAAAAGGTAAAACTTTTATTTGTTACTATATTATATTCATCATACTTTATATTTAATTAATCATAATAAAAAAGATATATATATATATATATATATATATATATATATATATAATACATTTTCTTATATAAGTATATTATGAATTTGTATTTCAGGAATATATACACCAACAGAGGCAGAAAAAAGATGGATATATCTCAAAGATCGCTACAGAAAATCATTCAATAATTATAAAAAAATTTTAAAAGAATCTCAGAAAAGCGGTGCAGCTGGTATTCCTAAAAATCAACCATTTAAACCATCATTTAAGCATCATCACTTAATGAGTTTCCTAAATGATATTTTTGAGCATCGTTCGTAAGTTCTTAAAATTGTTATTTTTTTATTTAGTAACAATTTATAATATTTTTTTAATAATATTTTTTTATATCAATTGTATAATAAAGATTACTTATTAATATTATTATATTAATTATTACAATTAATTGTAGATCAATTTCTTCTATAAGAATGGGAAAAAAACCACAACCATCAACATCAAACGCAGTAGAAAATGAAAACTCATTAGATGAAGCAATATTCGTCAATACTATCGATGAAGAAAGTAATGAAATTCCATCTCCTACTGTTTCATGTAGTAACACTTCAACATTGCCAAAAAAAAGTAATTTTTTAAATTTATTTTTTATTTGAAATTATATATAAATGACATGAAATTTATCAATACACTTTTTACAGAAAAAAGAAGTTCGGGAAATTCGGATGAATTCGACGAAACTTTAATTGAAATGTTAAAAAAACCTTCTGAGCCTGATCCAGTTAATTGCTTTGCGATGCGTTTAGCAGAGGGAATGCGCAGACTTCCCTATAAAGAAAGATCGAAATTGGAACTAGAATTTTTAACGAAATTAATGGAAGTAGAAGAACGATTGGGATTGGAATGATTCAGTTAATTATTTACCATTATTTAATATTATGTTTATTCTATATATTTAATACTTATGTTTAGTTATATAACATTTAGTATTATCTTATTTATATTTTCTATATTTAATATGCATATATAATAATTAATTACATTAATGTCAGCAAATTTTCCTTTTAATATTAAAATTCAATAGTTTTACAATATTAAAAGTCATTATTATATGCTTTATCCCACTGCTGTTCGACAGCTCCTTCAGTACAGAAGTATTCAGTAAATGCATTTCGAATTTGTCCACCTCGTGAAAGTGTATTATTATTTATATTAGAACCTAATATTTGATCAAAATTATTTATGTTCTCTAAGTCAATATTAGCATATTGTCTCTGTTCTAAAGGAACGTTTAAATCTTTTTCCATTAGAAAGTTGTGTAAGCAAATTGTTGCTTGGACTAAAGAAATTGCATTTTCTACGGTAACTGCCAATGGTCTTCGAAAAATTCGCCATCTTGCCGATAAAATTCCGAAAGAACATTCGATTATTCTTCGAGCCCGACTAAGTCTATAATTAAACACTTTCTTTTCTAAATTTAAATTACTTGCTCGAGGATACGGTCGTAGCATATAAGAAGTCAAGGCAAATGCTTCATCACCAACTATGACAAATGGTAATTTAGGTCCATTTTCTATTATTGACTTTGGTTTCGGCAGATTAAGATCATTATTCTCTAATCGATATCCAAGCTCACTTTCTTGAAAAATACCGCCATCACTGCGTCTTCCTTCTGCTCCAATATCAACAATAGTGAAACGACAATTAGCATCCGCTAATGCTAATAGGACTATACTATGAGTGCCTTTGTAATTATAAAAAGTAGAACCACTATGAGGTGGAGCCTAAAACAAAAAAGTGAAAATACAATTTAAAATTAATCAGTATTAGTTAATATTAGTAGCTTAGCATTTATTTAATAATAATAATAATACCTGAAGTTCGATATGTTTTCCATCAATAGCTCCAATGCAGTGTGGAAAATTCCATAGTGTTTCAAATTCTTCTGCTTTTTCTTTCCAGAAATTTTCAGTAATTTCTGGGAAAACTTGGTTACTTAAAACATTCCAAATAGCAGTGCATGTTTCACTAACAATTTTAGAGACAGTATTTAATCCCACTCTAAATGCAAATGAAATTGAAGGCATTGTATCTCCTGATGCCAAATATCGTAAACATATTTGCAGACGAGTTGCTGCAGGAATCGGTTCTCTTACTGCACGTTGTTTTTCAATATGTGGTTTGATTAGATTTAATAACTCATTAAATGTAGGTGTATCCATTCTTAAATATTCCATAAATTTTTCTAGATCAGAATTTTCCATTTCTTTAATAAGATTATTACTTGCACCTTGCAACAATCTTTGTCTTACGGTAAATATAGGACGGACCCAGAATCTCTTTTGAATTTTCTTTTCTTCTCTCTTCTTTATTCTTCTATATAATAAATATAATTTTAATAATTCTCGTCGTCGTATTTCTTTTACTATTGATGATTGTGGAGTTTGTCGCCATTTAATAACTTCTTTCGTTAAAAGTATTTTAATTTTTTTCCATTTCATGATCTCTATCTCTACAAAATAATATAAATACACAATTTTTAATACATAAATAGTTAATGTACATACTGTCAGACATGCAAAAATTGCGGACTTGTCAGTCCGAAATTGTTGTGACTGGGCTCCCCATGGACTGATATTTCCGGAATAAGTAAAAATTGAAAAAATTATTTTTATTGTTTTAGAAGAAAAAAGATACTTACCGTAATAGTAGAGTCTATTAAAAAATAAAGCTTCGACGTATTTTTTATTATATTTTAAATTATATAGAAATTTCTTTAATTTAAAAATATGTTAAGGTTAGAATGCCATTCAGTTTTCCGTAAAAGTTGTTCCATGGGGAGCCCGGCCCTTGAAAAATCGCACCGATCGAGCTGACTCTGATTGGTAGACCCCCTCTCCGTTACTTGTCCGAGATTCCGTTTTCCGAATTTCTGACTGCCATGTGACAGCACCCT